CCAGAGAGTCCCGGGTTCGGTTTCTGCTAGGGACATGTACCACACACACAAAAAATAATAATAATAAAATAAAGTAAAATAAAAATTTTCAATTAAAAGTATATATGGCCCTGGCCAGTTTGGCTCAGCGGTTAGAGCGTGGGTCCGCAGACCAATGAGTCGCGGGTTCGATTCCGGTCAAGGGCAGGTAACTCAGTTGCAATTCGTCTCCAGCCTTGGTTGGGGTTGTGTAGAGGCAACCAGTTGATGTGTCCCTTTCACGTGAATGTTTCTCCTCTCTCTCTCTCTCTCTCTCTCTCTCTCTCTCTCTCTCTCTCTCCCTCCCACTCTATCTGAACAAAAATGAAAAATGTCCTCGGGTGGGGATAAAAAATAATGAATAAAAATAAAAAAATATATAAACAATGGTTAAAGAATTCAAAAATGCAGCTTAGTCATTTCGTGGAAATTTAAATATGTCTTCAGACTTTTAACCATTTTTTTCCTGCTTGTCCATACTTAAATTTCCAATGACAATGTCTGACTATGACTGCAAGCCCAATGAAATCTTAAAAGCTTAAAAGAACTATGTGTGCAAGTTTATGCTGAATTCATCTGGCAATGGAGAGGTGCAAAAATAGGCAAGAATGTAGTTTCTTCATGACAGACATTTTAAAAAGTGTGCCTTTATAATAGCGAAGGGAACTGCCAGCTCATCCTTTCATGAAACTACACGTTTTGGGGACAGTTAAAATCACAAGACCTACAGTTTCAAAGAAGCTCCACTGAACAGCGAGCAATTGTAGGGAGGGGGCGTTGGGGTGATGTTGAGAGAATTTCTGCCTCTGAGGAGTGGTCCCTGGGGCGCATCTCAAGAAAAGTGCCCTCATTTGGACACAACACCTTTGCAGCATTGTGTTCTTTCCTTTCTTCACAAGTGGTTATAGCCCTCGCTGGGAAAAGGAGGGGAAGAACGCAGCTTCCAAATAATTCTTTCAAAAATCATGGCTGTTGATTGGGGAGATGAAACTCTGTGTCATCAACTTCTTTGATTGTTCAACTGAAGAGCAGATGAAATAAAACAAAAGTTATACCAGGACCTGGAAAATAGAAGCTAGTCCATTTCGTAACTTTATTTCCTGATGGTCTGAAATTGACTATGAAGTTGGAGATTGTGGAGTTGCTGTTTATCGTGCCCCCCTACTGTTCTCTTCTGTGTATTCTCTCTCTGCAGGCACGATTGATCTGATTATGAACTAAAACTTTGGATGCATTTTTACATCCAAGCCCTCTGTGTATTTGGAGTTACTGTAAATGTTAGTTTGATGTTGCTCAATGTTCTGGTTTTAACACATTGTGCCTGGTACACAAAAGAGCATTGATATCTACATATTATTCTATCTATCGATCATCTACGTATGTATCTATCCACCTACCTGTACACAACTTTAGAGGGAGAGGAGATTTGTACTCCTATTAGTTTCAAAATGAACAGAAAGTCATCTGCAAGATTATGTACCAACTCTTAATGGAAGATGTTTGGACTATGGACCAAAGTATATAACGGGAGGACAATTCATTGTTTTCACTGGACACCCTTCCCTTTTGTTTGTCTCTTATAAGCATGTATTGCTTTAGTAATTGGAAAAACAACTGCAGTTGATATTTTGGTTTTCTCTTAAAAGTGGCCCGTTAAAGTGGTTGATACTTGAAAAGAGGTACACAAATGTGAATACAAGAGAATATTCAGAGTGTTTCTTTTATTTTTATTTATTTATTTTGTTAATCCTCACCCAAGAATATCTTTTCCATTGATTTCTTAGAGAGATTGGAAGGGAGGGAGACAGGGGGAGAGAAGCATTGATGTGAAAGAGACACATCAACTAGTTGCCTGCCACATGCGCTGTAACTGAGGCTGGGGATCGAACCTGCAACCCAGGTACATGCCTTTGACAGGGAATCGAACCCACGACCCTTCAGTTTGCTGGCCGACGCTCTAACAACTGAGCCACACCAGTCAGGGCAAAGTGTTTGTACAATTTACAAACTGCTTTATATGCATTGAATATGTGTATACACAGAATAAAAGGTCTAGAGTCAGTGCAGTGTATATTTGCAGTAAGCATTCCCGAGTGTTAGATTAGATGACTGATGCTTAGTATTTTTCATGGGGAACATCTGTAGTAGTGTCAATAACAACAAAAGAAACACCATTTTAGATTTTCCACGTGTGTTTTTAAAATGAAGAAGTAAGAGGACCAGAAAATAACATGTATACTAGAAGCAGAACCTTGTGCATATGCGTGTGTAGAGGCAGGGAACATGGATTAGATGCATCAGTATCAGGCATCTGTGTCTCTAATGTCGCTATAAGAGAGAGAGAGAGAGAGAGAGACTGTGTGTGTGTGTGTGTGTGTGTGTGTGTGTGTGTACATGTCTTGGGATGTCGGTTGCTCTCTGGTTGGGTTGAGGTGACTCAGGCACTCCTGCTTTAGGTGACGGGATGGCAGGTCTTGCTGCAGTGACTGAGTCACCTTGTTTTCCTTCCCCTTGCTGTTCTGTGTCTTCACGCAACACCTGTGCTCTGAGAGCAGGTACATTGAATTCTCTAAGACAGAGGACCTGAAACCTGCATGATCACTCACCCTGGTCAAAGACAGAGGTTGCCCAGGTTATGTCCAAATGATGTACATTTAGTCATGGTATAGCTCATATTCTATCTATGAGTGTGTGAATAAAGCTGTACATGCAGGCACTTATTACAGAAATAATATTTCATCTTATGAGGCACATTATTTGAGGCTGGTGATGGATGAGCTAAAATATGTAAGTTTTTTATAATGTATATCTGTACAGTGTATACAGAAAAGTAGAACCTACAAACAGGTTACTTCTGTGTGGGAAGAGGGGGATTGAGAGAATCATTGCGTGTGCTTTCCACACAACTAGATGTCTGAAATTTACTTTAAGTTTTTAAAATTTGGAAGATCCACATTGTCAAGAGATTCACAGAAATGGTGTGAAAACAGGCATTTAGATGAAGCAGTGATCAACGATGCTCTTGAGTGAAGAAATGCTGACCTAGGTCATATGTGCAGGCATGTGCATACGGATGCTTAGGAAACGTGTGGGAAGCCCATTCCCCATCCTACTGAGAGCGAGCATCTATAAAGTGTCATCTCACCCTGGCAGATGGCTCAGTTGGTTGGAGAATAACCCCGTACACCAAAAGTTTGCGAGTTTGGTTCCTGGTCAGGGCGCATACCTGGGTTGCAGTTTCAAGCTCCAGTCATGGTGTGTGTGGGAGGCAACTGATCAATGTTTCTTTCTCTTTCACGTCGATCTCTCTCCCCCTCTCTCTCACTCTCCCTCCTCTCTAAAAATCAATACAACATATCCTTGGGTGAGGATTTAAAATATATATACATATATTAAATATATCTATATATTTCTATATATTAAATATATCTATCTATCTATCTATCTATCTATCTATCTATCTATCTATCTATCTATATGTAGATAGTGTGTTGTCTCCTGCATAAATCGCTCTACACATTTTATTCCACAACCCCTTTAATATTTCTTTAGACACACAAAACAACACATACACTAACAGATCCCATGTTTGTGTCACACACACACACACACACACACACACGCTGCTACTCTGAAATAAGGAGTAGTTCACTCTGTTGTGGAATAGGAGGGACTAGCTAAATCAAGTACCTTGAGGTGCAAATATTTGGACATGCAAAAGAAGGATGAAAACCAGCATGACATCTACATGACAAATGAGATTTAACTAACATCTCTGCTTAAGAATGGTATGTATTTCAAAGTTGGAGAAGGGAAAGGGATGAATCAATCCCCATTTCATTGGCTTAATTTCCTCTCTCTTTTGGATTTTCTGGATTAACACAGAGATGCACAAATCCTGGGTGTTGACATTTGGTTTCACTTGTCCCTGGAAGAACAGTGCACTTCACAAGCCCAGAGGGTACAAGGTGTGTCCAACTGGCAGTTGCAGTTTTTGGATCAACAGATCCTGCTCACAGAACCACACCTACCACGGTCCACTTGGCGTTCGGTAAGACTTTCCCATTTTAGTACACATTTCATCTGCAATCACTAATTTCATGTTGACATTTGGGGTGGGTTTTATGTTGCTCCTTGCTCTACAGTCACTACTTCATGCTGATTTGATGCTGGGGAGAGGGGGAGCCCTTTAAAGCACCACAGAGAAAGGAAGAGGTGTACGTCCCAGCCAATGGCTCGTGCCTGCAGCATTCCTTATGAAGGGGAACACCTGTAACCACCATATGAGCATCATGAACCTCTGAGTTCTAAGCTCATGTTCTTGAACATGATATTGTGCTGACACTCAGTGTCTGTAGGTTGGAGATCATCTCTGGCTCCCTTGGGTCCACAGGGCGGCACTAGCACCCCAGGAAAGAAACACTGAAGCATGCCCCTAGGATGAGCCCCAAGGAGCACAAAAGGCCCAGGATGTCCAATAAACACATGACATTCCGGGCAGGACACCCACCTGCCCACACAGGTGCTCTTTAATAGGCAGTAGTAACAAATAGGGCTCGAAGTTGAGTTCAGAGGGCTGAAGAACTCTTCTGGTATCTTAGTATTTTTTTTCCCTAAATAGTTGCCTTGTATCCTGCCCCCTCCCCAACTTCCAGTCTGTTACACATTCTTTATATTGATCTCTTATCAATTCTCAATGACCAACTTCTACTACTTCCACAAAAGGAACTCTTTCTGATACTCTCCTTTTCCTTTGCCCATTCCAGTATTCTCCGGTCTAGTCTGTCAAAACGTAAGTTCCAGCATTTCTGGGAGATACAAGTGGAGAAGGACTGGCCACAGAAGCGATAAACCCTCTGTAGTCCTAGACAAAAAGGTGCGAAGAACATTGTCTTAGGGAGGAGTCCTTCTGTAGCTGTGGGTATGCCAGCCAGACCCCCCGACCTCTGTTGATGACCTCTCATCACCCAACTACAATCAAAATGGACTCTGAGTATGTCCTATGCAATTGGAAAGGCCACTTTTGGCCAGCGAGGGTTTTGTCTAGATCCATAAGCTTACCGAAATATAAGAAGAGAAAGACATGTTATCTACAAGTTCAAATACTCTCAGTAGATAACAAAATTAAAGTGAAAAGCAGAAACGTCAAGATCCTAAATGAGTCTCAAACTGAGTCCATCGCCTCGTCGATAGTGGCCCAGTCTAAGGCCAGCTTCTCACCAGGAGAGGGAGTGGCCTACAGAAGCGCTCTTAAGTTGGCACTGGAGATTCTGAAAGAGAGAGCAAGCCTGGGTGCGGCAAGGGCATCCGATGGTCCAGAGACCGCTACGATGTCTCAAAAGGGACCGAAAAGGGGATCTGGTAAAAAGGACCAGAAGCCCAAAGGGAACACCCCAAGAAGTCTCAGGGGAAGTAAAAACCCCAAATCACTGATGTTGGGTTCAGAGGGTGAGGACGCCCCCGACGGTGACAAATCCCAGGTGCACATATCCCGCACTCCTGTTCCAAGGGAAACTCGAGCAAAGTCCTCACAGAGAGCCAGCACGTGCTCAAACTTCCCATTGCTTTCAGAAGACGACTGTGAGAAAGAGGGCCGGACAAAGACAGACACCTCAAGAGTTCGTTCCCGGCATTGTACGGTCAAGGAGGACTTTGCAGGTGCTAAAGATGGAGGCGTCCTTCCATCTCTGCCACCCAGTGTCATTGTCACTGTGCCCAAGGCCCGGAAAAGAGAGGCACCACGCAGCACCTGCCCAAAGACCCTGGTCGTCTCCTCTGAGTGTTCTCCCTTCTCGGGGAACCCTGAGGACCCTGGAGAGGGTGCCCGGAAGCCAGGCTCAGAAGGCGCGGCAGCATCCTCCAGTCCCCCCGACCTGGGGCTGCGTCGTTCACTTCGTTTGGCAAACAAAGTAAGGAAGCATTGGGCACTGGAGTTCAAGAGAGGACGGCAAAAGCTTCAGCCCTCAGTTGACTCAAAAGCTATTCACCCCACCACCGCTGTGAAGAAGGGTGTTGCCAAGGATGTGGGACAACCAACAAGCACGGCTTTCCCACAGGAGTCGTGTCCCATTGAAAGAGGAATGATGGTCTGGTTTAAGTTTCAGAATCACCCCTTTTGGCCAGCAGTGGTCAAGAGTGTCAGCCACACGGAGCAGACCGCAAGGGTGCTTTTGATTGAGGCAGACATGCACCGTGAAAAGAGCGGCATTCGAGTGCCTCTTCGGAGATTAAAGCACCTGGATTGTCGAGAGAAAGAGAAACTACTGATGAGAGCCAGGAAAGTGTACGAGCAGGGTGTGAACTGGTGCTTCTCCCTGATTTCCCACTACAGAGAAGGGCTCGGTCGTGGGTCTTTTGTGGGCTCTTTCCTGGACTACTATGCTGCTGACATCAGCTACCCAGTTAGGAAAGCCATCCAAGAGGGGGAGGTGGACATCGACTTCCCAAAGGTGAATTACGTGGACCTGGAAGATTCTGAGGAGGAGGAGAGCTCCCCGGGTGCCAAGAGGCCCCGCAAGAAAATTCTTCCTGACCGGATGAAGGCCGCTTGGGACCGAGACAACCAGAAACTCGTGGACTTCATTGTGAAAAGGAAGGGGGCAGACCCCCATCTTCTGGACATTGTCAAAGGCAGGAAACAGTCCAGGTGGCTGTCCTCATTTCTGAATTCAAGCAGGTACGTGATCTGCATTGAAACATACCTGGAGGATGAAGATCAGTTGGATGTCGTGGTAAGGCATTTGCAAGAGATCTACAAGCACGTAGACAAGAACATGCTGACTCTGACCAGAGACGACAAAGTGAGTTTTGTTCTGGAAGTCCTCCTGCCAGAAGCCATTATCTGTTCAATTGCTGCACTTGATGGGTTAGATTACAAGAAGGCAGAAGAAAAGTACCTGCAAGGGCCACCTGTGCATTCCCGGGAAAAGGAACTATTTGATAAAAACATCTTAAGGAAGATGAGAAAGACACGGCCCTGAGGAGCAAGGCTAAATAACTCCCCCCCTGCACCCGCACGGTAGCAGAGAGACCTCTCATTTGTATCATTAATAAAAACCCTGACTGCACGACACGTGTGATCTCTCTATTCTCTATGGCGTGAAAGGCATTCTGGAAACTTGGGAACATGCTGAATTAGTTTTGGGTCTCTCTCTGGCCTTTGTGGGTGGCACGGTCATCATCATTTCTTGTTCCCAAACTCTTCCCAAACTAATTTGTAAAATATTGCCAACAGCTGTACTTCTCTCTGCTTGCTCAGATGTGTAACTCTCCAGACATTTTCATAAAATTGCTTTTGACTGTATATAGTTAACATTTTAATATAAGACACATGCTCTTGCATTACACGATAGAGCCCTGCTAACAGGTATTAAGCGACAATCACTTTTAAAATGAGATGTATTTTACAGAAACATCACATGTATTTTACAGAAACATCACATCACGGAAATGCTCATGCTTTTTGGGATACATTTGTATAAATGATTGAATGCCTTCCTATGATCTTTCCTGAGTTTTTCCTGCTGTGCTTATGTGTTTTGGGGAAAAAAAAAAAAACAATCTTGAGATAAATGACAGAGACCAATGACAGATTTGTTTTCTGTATAGTATCACTACTGTCAGATGCTTCTTGGAAAAGTGATCTGAAATCCAGACAAAGTGAATGGATTATCTGCCTGGATCCCACAGTAGGGTGAACAAAATCTTTGTGTGCAGTAAACACTTGGTCACCCTGAGCAACGCTGTTGACTCTTTGTTTCCATGAGATTCCATTTATGGGAGTAGCTCTTTTTCAATGGCCGAATGGTTTCCTAAAACAGACAGGCTGTCTGCCTATCTTCCTCACCGACAGTGATTTGATCCTCTACATATAAGCCGTCTCTCCCCAGGTGGAAGGCAACTGGAGTTTCATATACACGATCCAGCTGCTCTAGACCTAGGAGTCCAGGTTAACTGCGAGGAGCCCATCTTATTAGCTTAAACTGGAGGAAATTAAGCACTTTGTTCTGGAACTGTTCCCCTGAAATGTAGTCATTTGTCTCAAACCAAGCAAGCTTTATCTTTTGACTTATTCGTGGACTAGCTCTGACAGGTTCCAACGGTGTGAAATGCAGACTGGTAAGTCATTCCAGTCTGCTCAAGGAGTAAGTAGACCATGATCTGGGAACTGGGGAAAGGGTTTCACAAAAGTCTCTGCCTAAATGTGGCTGTTGTCGGGATACAATGAAACATTAAAAGATCGATTTTGAAGCCCATAAAGTGTTATCTTCACTTGGGACAAGATTTTTTGAGAAAAAAATATTAGAAAATCTAATTTACTTTTTAAATTTGTTGTGAAAATAAACAGTAAAAGTTTAACATAAATCTGAGTGCATTTTTATTCTTAGGGGAAGTCAATTGTCACTCATGGGCCCATGTTATGTGTCTGCATGGCCACATAATGTTTTGGGTAAAATTCTTAAAAGTGAGCTGCTTTGACTCACCATAAAACCACTGTATCTTTCACCTACAACGTCTGCTTCATCCTACTTCAGATTGTACAACTACATAGTTAGAATGTCTAAAAAACACACCTATGCATATGTAGTATATGTACATTTTGGAACTTTGAAATTCATTATGAATTTCTTCTCATTCTACATAAACATTTGCTTTCATGCTCATTTTTATAATTTTCAAAGAGGGCTTTCCAGATTTCAGAAGTGTCAGGCCCAACAGCATCCTTTAAGACACTGTCTAAGAGACACCAAGACTCCTGTGACATTCTGCCCGGGCCAATCCACATGAGATCTTCATGGTCACAGAAAGTACTTGGAAACACACCACTTCTATGTTCTATGTGGACCTCATACACTGGAACAACACACTTTAGTTCTGCTGTAACACCGTGTTTCTCTCAGTCAAATGTATCACTGAACTTCAACTTTCTCATGAAGCCATATCCATCTCTACATTCTCATCTTTTATTGTCTACTTCATTCATTCATTCACTCACCCACTAATTAATAGCATTGTGAACCAGTAGAGCAAATAAGATGTGGTTTAGGATTCTGCTCGAGGATAAATTTCAGGAGCCATAGAAAGATCACAATCTTGTGCTCCAGGTGACAATCTAATTTCTAAGATGATTGGGATGCACTACTTTATCTTTTCAGTAAGAAATGTTTATCAGAGTCATGGACTTATGGCTTATCTGTAACACTAGAACCCCATGTTTTCCCACATTTGTGAGATCATGGGTGTCTGCTGGCTTGGGGTGAAGGGAGAGGATCTGATTACATAGAGAAGGCATGCACAACATTTACAGGTCTCTAAATCTGTGTGTGGATCTCACAAAGAAATAGTGGAACCCCAAGACCTGGTAAGGTGATGAGCATGAGAATACAAATACCCAGAATCCCCTGAACCCTCACCTGGGCATTAGCAACCCTCTAACCCTTGGGAGTACCAGCTATAAGCAAGGAGGAAGAGCATTGTTTTAGTTTCCTTGACTCCGGTTGAACCAGACCTGGAATGTCACATCTTGCCTCAGATAACATTTAAATTTTTTTCTTTATTTATTGATTTTAAAGAGAGAGAGAGAGGAAGGGAGAGTGAGAGAGAGAGATAGAAACATCGATGAGAGAGAACATCGATTGGCCGCCTCCTGCATGCCCTCTACTGGGGATTTGGCCCACAACCTGGGCATGTGCCCAGACCAGGAATCAAATTAGGAATTCTCAGTTCATGGGACGATGCTCAACCACTGAACAACACCGGCAGGTACATTTTTAAAAGAATCAGTTGCTTTTTCCCAACTGATTCAGGAAAAAAAAAAAAATCAGGACAAAAACCATTTTCTATAAGAGAGCGACCAGAATGGCAAAGGGGCAACAATGGCAAAGGAGTTACAAAGCAAAGCCAAGGGAGGATGGGATGTCTACCCTGGAAGAGAATATGCCGGGTGTCTGTGGTGCAAAAGAGGAGAGCTGGACCTCGGGTTCCAACTCTTACAGAGTGATCGGCCTTCCCATCATCCACCACTATAAAGTGGGACTAAGAAGCTGAAGTGACTGTTTTCCCCATTGGAATAAACAACCCACATTGCACCACCACCCGGGTGGGCCTTGCCATTGCTGTGACCCTTCTGCTTGAGAAAGGCCTGGAATGTGCCGGGCAGGCACGTGAGGAAGGAGCTATATAGGACCAGAGAACCTTGAAGTCTGTATGGAGGTTCTTCATGAGTCTCTGGCCTGAGACAATGTTGCATATGTAAGGGACAGCAGACGCTAGGCAGAGAAGTCATGGCTGATGCAGGGTTGAGAGCAGAACAGGAATACCTAAGGTGCAGCAGTGATGGGAGTTCTGCCTGGCCCCTCGTTAAACCCAGACGTCCAACCAAGATGCCAGAAAGGTCATACATCAGGAGTGAGGATCATGCCCAGGAGACACGTCCAGAATTGCTGTGAGGCACTGTGTATGGAGGGCTGCCCTGCGACTGGGCAGGGGAAGGGCAGGTCAGCTAGTTGTTCCATCCTCCCAGCAGACCCTTTCCCTGGTGTCGGTGGGCTGGGGCACACATGTATTCATTTGTGTTCCTACACCCCTGGGTGTGACTGACAAGGAGACTGCCCAGGTGGGGGCCCAGTTCCAGGGTCAGGTCCTGATCTTCTCAGAGGGGAGCTGTGATAGGAGGGAAGGACACAGGAGAATGGATGGAGGAGCAGCCTAGCCGTGTGAGAAAGGGCCTCTGAGAGGGGAGGAGATATGTATGCCTCTCTCTTCCTCTCTCCCCATAACTACACCAGGCAAATCCCCTGGACTAGCAAAAGTGAGGGTAGAGTGGCTCAAGTGGCCTCTGGGAGGTTCTGGCAGGGACAAGAGCAGGAACAGGTGGGGGAAGAGCCAAGCCACGCTGGGTAGGGGAAAGGCCCCTGGTGCCTGGGGACGGAGGGCGAGCCCTACAGACCTCAGAGCCCAGGGCTCCGACCATGGGAAAATGCCTGCTGATACAGGTTTCTAGACGCCCCCCCCCCCCGAAGAGGGGGGTAGTATGCCTGGGGGCTAGAGGAGCTGCCAAGGTCAGAAGGACCTGAAGGGAGAGCAGAAGAGAAGGAGAGAGGAAAAGAGCAACTGAAAGGCAAGCAAACATTATCCTGCCCCTCCTTCAGGTGACTCAGGGCCCCAGCAGACCTAGTGATGAAACCACTTTCCACCTCTGTGGGACACACCTGCTCAGAGGAAGGGCCAAGGACACATCTGGAGATCTGTTGCTTTCATTGTTTACCAAGAAGGGCCCCAGGCCCACTGTATTCTTCTCTAGGACAGGGGTCCTGGGGGTGGGAAGAGGCATTCTGTGGGGTTTGTTGCTAACCTAGTCACCCACACCTTGGGTGGCTGTTCTTTTTGGTGGGGCCAGCCCCTGTGTCACCAGCTGGGCACAAACAGAGGGAGGGGCAGATGGCCCATGTTCCAGGAGCCCACAGTCTTCCAGACAGCAGAAGCAAGGGAGTTCTTGCCATCACCATGAAGGTCTGAAGAGGCTGGGACAGAGTGGGCCCAATTAACTCTCAAAACTTCCTTCCAAGACAAAGACTTCCACTGAGGAGAAACTACTGGGAATAGAATACAGGTAGCTCAAGACAAGAACAATAGGGGCAAAGAAAGGAGAAGTTCCAGATAAATGAGAGGGAAGAGAACAAATTGAGATCATAGGAAGTAAGCGGACATATCTAACAGTTCTCAAAATCAACAGAAGAGGGCGCTCTTCATATGTAAAATTTGAAAAATCTATTATTTACCTCCTTCCAGGAAAACAAATTTTGGGTGAAAATGAGTAACAGAAGAAGACCAAAGGCAAATCTCATACAAAATTAAAATAAAAGAGAGAGTGCAAAGCACAATAAATGTCCCTCTAGACACTGAAAGCATCCCAGAAAGAAATGTGCACAAAACAGATGGAACTACAACCCTTCATTTGTAAAGCAAGCTAAAGGCATTA